TTGAAATGGGCTGGCCCATTTCGGAATCCTAGAACGGGCTGGCCCATTCTTAGAATGGGCTAATTCTCAGAATGGGCTGTAACATACATATACCTTCTAAATTGAGCATATCTTTTTAATGCAAAAGAGATTTCTTTCTCCAGTGTTCTTGCATTGTTCCCTTGTACTTGGAAGAAGTACAGACAGCAATCCATGTTCAGAATATTGTAAGTTTATTGGTGATGTAAAATTTTCATGCTTTAAAGCTTTGTTCTGAAGTTGTTGGTGCTTTTTTATCTATAAATGAAGAAGAGACCTGGCCTGCTTATACTTACTCCAAATATTTTTGCAGCTGCTAAGTGGCTTGGTCGGCACAACTGTTATATACTAATACAGCCATTGGTACAATACTTGTTATTACTTTCAGCAAACTCTCAACCTTTCCCAATCAGGAATGAGATTTGGTTATGCCAGAAGATTTCCATTATACACATATCATGGCAAAATTCTAATGAAACTACAGTGATGCATTGCATTTATGGGGTTTCCATATTAGAAAGACATTTTAATGGTTTACAGATTTTTCTTTATTAAACCTTACCAGCTAACTTTACATAAAAGTTTGACTATAAATATCCCTAATTGTTAACTAAGAATTGTGAATTTTCCCAAACTAATAACAGCTTTTAAATATCTACTGGCTTCCTTTTGTTGAATTAGAAATGTCTTTATGTTTTCTAAACTTTTTAGTGCCTCATGAGCCTCACTATTGGGATTTTATTACTATCATCGTCAGTTTCTTCATTGTGTTCTCCACTAAATAAAGAAATGATATTGTCACTTTGAGGAAACGATATCTTCTGCTAGTAACAATATAATCAATCTGCTGTTTTAAAGCGGGATCAAACTCGAACACTGAAAAAAGAAAATAGCAATGCTTTACAAAGAATTCTTTCTCACACGTAAAACTGGATCTATAGCAAATTGTGATTGAAACAGATTTTGTACTATTGCTACATTCATTGTGTAAATAACATTATGGTAATCACGTGATTTGCACTTAGAGAAATAAATCCATTAGGGCGGGGGTTGCACTTATTCACTAAGCCCCATGCTTGGGACCAGGCAAAGTGTTGCATTTAGAGGGGGATTGCACTTATGGGGTTGTGGTGTCACTGTACTCTTTCACTTGAATTTAATGACCTAGAATTAGAGCTATTATTATTTCCTGATTTGTTCCCAGATGGTAAAGGTCATTATTATGAACTTACAAAAGTGCTTGCATTGATGAAAATAAAGTAAAAACATATCAAACATAGACTTCTATGTATTGATCCATGTTTCAGGCATCCTTATTAGCCCTCATGGTCATATTAATATATGCAACTTGAAAAATTATGAAATCATCAAAATACAACCCACTTTTGGAGACAAATATACTTTGTCTATTTTAAATAGACATTGTTGTGATCGGAAATAAAATGGGGTTTGAGAGAGTGATTTATCTTGTGTTTGCCGACCGGGGATGTAGCTCGTACTTCGCCCTTACTACAATAGTTGTACAATTAAGACTGAATTAAGCCTACAAGTGTCCTTATCAATTATTTATGCGCGCTTCTCACTCCCTATACAAATAAGGGTACCTCTAATAAAATAATAACAACAATTATTCTATTAAAGAATCGAAGGGGAATAATACCATTTTAAAATTAAACAGGGCTATCTTCGATTTGCTTGTCGACTAGTCGGTATCCGTCACTTGTCTCTACTAAACTAATTAAACATTAATCGTCTCGATAATTAATTATGAACTCTCGTTCCATTATTCACGTAATTGATCAGCGGACAGCTTGCTAGCTTGATCAAATCGATGCTATTCCGTTACAGATTAAGTGAGCCGTTTATTTGGAGTGTCCGGTCTAATAATCAATTATTTCGATGATGAAAGATGTATATAGATGATTTAAGGATTTTGGGAGAATACTACTAAGATCGGTAGTATTATTTTATTCGTATTAATATTCACAACATAAACGGAAAAGAGCTACTTATATATCTTTGAACGTCACTGAAAAATTCAAACGCTCTTTTGTCTAATTATGGAAGAACAATTAATTATGCCAATTATAGCGTTTTGTACTGTCACTGATTTTTCTGCAGCGCAGCACCTGCCTGCGAAGGAAGAATTTATCATGTGACTCACCTGTCTGATCAAACAACATAAAGCCTTCTTTAACATTAAATTTATGGGGTCTGAGCTAAGACTATGCTCGGACCTTTTTGTTGTTTAACATGTATCGTTTTATGTACTGCATCACAAAACATGTATGTTCTACAATTTAACAAATTTATACCTACAACAATTTATACAATCAAGATAATTATATCTTTTTCTGCAGCGGCGTCATTCTGATTTCGTGTATATACTTTTTTTTTTTACTTTCCTTCGACATTGCAATCGAAATTAATGTCTTGATTCCGTATGATTCTTCTGTCGGCTGGAAATCTAATGTTTTTGGTTTTAATATTAATGGGATTATGAATAGTATACTATGATCAATTTATGATGACGTAGTTCATCAATAAAGTAGTATACTAATAATAATAATATAAAGTTTGAAAAATCGATCATCATTCATGATCTACCTTTTGCATGCATGCATGGAAGCTTTCCTATGATGATTAATACGTAGAACTTGTATAGGATTTGATCAAATAATGAAGTCTGTTCCCACCACCGTCAGATGCTCACCTAGACACATTATCTATTCACTAACCTCTATAAATTCAAATATCAGACACAACTACACAAATCGCATTTACAATAGACATTTCATTCCCAGCATATTGCATCATCAGGACTATGGACAAATTGCGCAAAGGCCTTTACGACTACCCCCTAGTTTCGGAAAAAATCAGCATATACCCATCGATGGGGATGTCAAAGAACAACTGAAAAAGGTTCTGCTTCATTTTGATGCACCAATACAATATGCACTGGCCTACGGAAGCGGTGTTTTTCCTCAGAAGGGTTATGATTCCAAGGTAAAGATTTCTTTGCTGAGTAGGTGCCTGATTCAAGTTAACTTCATTACTCTTGCTAAAATCCTCATTTAATAGTCAAAGCCGATGATAGATTTTATTTTTGGCGTCAACTATACTCAGCACTGGCACTCCCTCAACCGGAATCAACATAGGGATCACTATTCCCTTGTGGGATCGCTGGGAAGTCGTGCATTGGCCTCTATCCAAGAAAACTTTGGTGCGGGGATATACTTTAATCCATTTATTGAAATAGACGGAATGGTAATATATTGACAATCACTTCGTACACGTTGTTCTCTATATAGATTATCTGTACTGATTATATACTATTTGCGATGATACCTGCACATTTATTTAAATTTTTCTTAGATGTACTCCTCTTTTTATGTATATCACTGCGTACTAATATACCAATTATTTCCTTGAAAGACAATCAAGTATGGCGTAGTATCCATTGACACTATTTGTAAAGATCTTTTAGATTGGGAAACTCTATACGTGGCTGGCCGTATGCATAAACCGGTATTTAAGCTTTCATGTCATTGCCAATTGCTTGGGGCGTGTGTATTCTCTTATCTCTCGTATGCTTACATAACAATGTCAACTTCGATAACTGATCTCAATAACTAAATAACTTTCTGTAGGTTAAAATACTGAGAGATGATGCCAGAGTACGTTTAGCTAATCAAGTCAACTTGGCTAATGCCTTGAGGACTGCCTTACTCTTGCTACCCAAAGAGTTTTCTGAGAAGCAACTGTATTTGGCAATATCCGGTATATCATTTATAGGTCAGCTTAATAATCTTGACTGGACATGAAGCGGATGATCGAGCAAATAAACAAATGTCGAATGCTACTGACATTCGTCCTGTTTCTGAGTTTAGGTGATTTTCGATCAGTTGTCGGTGAAAATCCAAAAAAGCTGGAAAACATTGTCAGCGACCAAATGCACCATTTCCGGTTGTTATATGGCGGGCTAATAGACGGTATGCCCAATGTTGGATTTGTTAGGTATCACAAATTACAGGTACACATGTGCATGACAATCCCTTGGATAACATTCTGAATTTTTACTCATATTAATAAATACTATTGGTTTCAGCAAGATGACAGCATACGTGCTCGATCCCAATTGATACAGAACTTGCCAAGAGCTTTGCGAGCGAAACTCAAAGAAGAGCACAGGATGGCTTTAGTGAAGAAGGGCCAAGCGTTGCCATCAGGTTTGTTCGATGGTATCTGCAACTGTGCATTTAGTCATAGATGTATTGACTGTATACGGAAATTACTTTCCATCATAGATAACTCTGAATTGTATAGAAGCATAGCAGCTGCTCCAGAGTATCGGCAATATATCGTGACAGGTAAATTCATTACAACTTTGCACATTGCACAAAGCTGAGCTTGTTATATCTATCTAATCTGTCTTGATTCCGTTTAAAGCTCTCAAAGAGACTGTACGTAGACCAGCGATTACACAAAGCGTCAAAGGTATATTAACCGCCGGGTTATCAAAAAGTATCCGGTATACAAGTAGAAAATTGGGTAAATGGATAAAGGCCAAGTAAAATCCGACACCATGCATGGCGGAAGCGATAGTGATGTAAAGTGTACGAAAACAGATCCATTATCAATAACCTAGCCCGTAATACGATTATAACAAAACAAGTTGTATAATTAATAATACAATCCTCTATGTTGTTCAGTTACAAGATCAACTAAATACAGCTCCTAATAGTACCACTAATGTCGAATGATTCTTGCAGCGGATGCCCGCTACTAACCATACAACGTAACCATTGGTTAGGACTCTGATAGAATTATCTCTGAATTCTCTACATTCTTTTGCGGTGTACTCTACTTTTAGTAGAAGTAGACAGCAAATGCGACCGCTACGCATACAAGTGAATCCTATTGTGATGTGGATAATAATCAGTAACGGATCTTATTATCGGGAGCTTTCAGCATATAATATGTATATATTATACCCACGTTAGAAAAACTTTCTGTTGCCATACTATCTGTTTCCGCGTCCCAATAACATTTGCACTGCATCCTGGCACATAATTGCAATTGAATATTAAAAGCTTTTCTCCACTCAATCAAGCCATTACTTCGCTACATTTGGTTGTCTTACCTTGCACCTTCACCCACCTTACTCATTATTGTTACATTCACGACATATTTATATCGATGCAACTTTAAATCTGTATAAATCCATCACATCAGTAAGCATAATAGTTTTATATAGTCTTATATAACATATCAATACAGAAACACACCCAGCAACTCCTTCTTGATCTCCTCAGCGATCTCAGTAGCCCACCCAGGCGCCTGATCTTTATGATACATGGCAGAGTTGAGTCTGTCGTGAAGAATCTTCTGCATAATCTCTTGGGCTTTATTGGGTCTAAATCTAAAAATCGTGCAACAAAAGTAGGTTAATGTGTCTTATGTCTGACTGTGACATTGACGTCGTGTTGCACTCTTGTAACTAGATGATTGTTTGTAGCTTCCCATTAATATCACCTTTTAAAACGCTTCAGATTCGGTGTCAGACCCAAATCTTTTTAGTAAATGTATACGTACTTTTGCTTATAACTTGGTCTTAGTGCAAAGGACCCCATATCTTCGGAGGCTCTCCGAGAATCTAGGTCCGCTATACTAGAGATTGACATGCTTGATAATGAGAGAAGTTCGATTGACAAGAAGTTCGATTGATGAGAAAGACTCTATTCGAAGGAGTTAAGTAGCACATGGTCGTGCATGATCATTGTCTGGTAGATCTATCACATGAACTCCGAGACGATAGATATTCAAAATGAGAGTTTGCCGCTATCACAGCCAGCGTTATCTATACAAGTAAAAGGCTTGATCTGAATGCATCTTGAAATGAAATACAACGTGTGGCGTCTGTTGTCCACTCTTCCTTTTTGGTGAAGATAACTATCTGACAATAAATAAAATCACATGAAATTTGCAAACTATGGGATTCCTGCTTTTGTGAAATGTTAGCGTGCGAAGTGTTTATATCTGCTCCAACCATAATTTAGCGCCAAGCCCTTCAACAGTGATTGATTATTGATGGTATGATATGGTCTTATGTGAATATTTGTTATTTATCCTCAGCTGCTCTAGCTACGAGTTTTGCGATAAGCAATAGATGCTTATATTAACGAAACATGCAATGGCTACATACTCGTGTTTGCTTTATTATGCTCGCTTAGCAGAGTGAACAAGGTCTCGTGCGATTATAGTTCGTTAGCAAAATAAATTTGCGCAATAGGAATGCTTGAGAAGACTTTCTAAGTTTTGAGACCGATGGTATCATTACATTCCCTACAAGGCTAGCCAATTCACTGCCATGAGGGTGACGTTCTATCGACTAAATTTAAAGAGAAAGCATTACCCGGATTACTGAAAGAGTCAAGCAAGCCCCAAGAGAACACATTGTACAGTCAACCCTCTTTATACCGATACGAGTGGCACGCGTCATTTCTATCGGTATAGCCAGTTTATCAGTATAGCCGAAGAAAATCTTATATCATAATTAGTAAACGACTGTATCGGTATAAAGAGGTTTGACTGTACAATAAACGACACGTGAATTATAATGCTATTCTACTTGGAAGCAGCGAGGGCAGAACGAACAGAAGTATTTGCTTATACGAGTTTTTTTATATGCCTAATGACAAAAAACTTATTTTAAGGATGGTGTAATTTATTCTGTGCAAGAGAAAGAACGGTTTTTGTTTTTCATATTATGAATGAGAATTTTTATCCAATTACTAGAATAATGTATGCTGCGCCTCAAGAAGACTTGGAGAAGCATAATACAATATTTTCTATATTAACGCTATATGGAATTTGAAATGTCATTTATATATTTATTAATTTACTAGTACTGCGCATAATAATAATGTAATACGTTCGAAAACCTGTTATCAACATGAATTCTTTTTTTTTATAGATAATTTGTACTCACAAGAATTTGGTTAAACTTCTACTGCGGTTAGTCAACACATGATACAAGTACCGCTGTCCAACGTGTAAATCAAATGTTTATTTAATTAATCAATCAATTATTTTACATCTTCTGTCTTTGTCGTTCGGCACATGCATTGGATACTGAGCAATAAACGCCCCGTAGGCCGTGTTTTATAGAAGTAATCTAATTGGTATAATATATTTAAACCTCGACTTTTACGGCTTTTTCTATATCATTAGATTACGCTCAATATTAGTCCTAAAACTTTATTTATTTATTTTTTGAGTTAGAGCACATACAATACTATATTTGCTTAAAAAAGAGTATGTCGATTGATGTTCACTTTTGTGTGTGTTTTTTTTTTTGACTGAAAGAAGAGCTCAATAAATAATATTGTAAATTGGTATGCGGGGGCAGTTAAGAGCCGTAGTATTGATTGAAAGTTTGCAACAGCCGTCTGAAGATAAAGGTACTAGTTGAAGGCCCACAATAGTTTGGCTATACAATAAATTTAAAAATAAAGTTTGTTTTTTTTTGTTGCTTTTTTGTGAGACAATTTACGTATATTTTTCGTAAAATCCAATTCCTCATACTTTACGAGACAGTTATTATCCAACTTGTGACCATTTTACGTAAAAATTCTGTTGTTATTTCATGCATCCAATCCTAAGCTTAAATACTTATTATCGCGTGTTACTATTATTATTGTTAGGACCCATTCTGGGGTTTGACCGGTTCTGAGAATGGGTCAACCGTTTCAAGATTGTCACATATTTTTTCGACGTTATCACATAAATCATGTAGTTTATTGGTGCAAGAGATTATTCTAATGTGACAATCCCGAAACACAGCATTATAATTATTATGATGTACAAGCACAAATTAAGATTTAGGCCCCTAAATCGCATCCCCAAAATCTTCGTCAGTGCCCCTTGAAACTTTGTGCAATATAACCGAATTTGTCTCCATCCTTCCTGTTCTCTATAAACCACGTCTAAACCATAATGTCACTATTTGCAAGACGACTCTCCAAAGAGCTAATGGGTAAATAATATTATACCGATGCAGACACTTTTGACCGTCGTATTAACGGTCGAAACGCTAATCAGACTAACCAGTATTTGTCAATAGACCTGAAACTTAATCCGTCTTCCGGAATAGAAGTTATTGAGGCGGAGACCTTTAAAAGGTAACTAAGACTAACTCTAAGACTCTTGATATTGACATACTTGTTATCGTTGACATTTATTTTCACTTCTGCAGTTGGAAACTCACTCTGGACGGAGTAGAAGGAACGCTCTATGCAGGAGAGAGGTTTACTCTGGAGGTATTGAATCTCACATATATTTACTGTCCCAGATTATGCTTTCACCTACGTAGTTAAAAACCCGATTCTTATGCTTGTTTTGTATATAATAGTTTCGATTTACGCCTAATTATCCAATGGAATCTCCAGAAGTAAGCGAAATACGTATCACTCATCGCGAATGGCTTCCAATGGCTTACCGTTACTAACTTCCTTGACTATAGGTTGTATTCATAAATAATGTGCCGATACACCCCCACGTAAGCTAAGCTTTTCATTGCCACTATTCTTATCGTTAGTTTTAGCGTTAAAGGCTTTATTCATTCTATTGTAGATCTACAGGTAAATCAAAGCTTCTGTATGTAACTGTTAAATCTGGCAGTATAGTCGTGACAGCAAGCTTACGATGGTTTATGGTCGATGATTAAGTAATGGGCACATATGCCTAAATGTCTTGTACAACCAATGGAGCCCTGTTTTAAGCGTCAGATCGGTCTGTCTATCAATACAGTCGATGCTATCAAGCTGCACTAAGAAGGTATGAGAATGCAAAATGAAGAGTAGTCAGTAGAACGAAAAGGCCATTAAGTTCATGTCTTTTTATATTTATTAGGAACCACCGCCTGATAACATTCATTATGTGAGAACAGCAAAAGCTTCTCCAAAACAAACACAATGGTCATTTCATGGTGGGTAAGCCAGTTATATTTCCAGAGGAACAAAAAGTTTCCAACGTCCTAACCGCTTATTCCGCGATTCCAGATGACTCTGTTTAAAAGAGACAGGTCTTTTAAAGTCTCACACCAAGTTTTACAATCGATGAAAGCGTTTTCATAATACATTTGTTTGTGTACTTTATATCCCTTCTGTGCCTTTACTTAGAGCTCCTTCACACAATATGACATTTCAATAGAGAGTATCAACTCAACGTCTTATTGTCTAGCCCTCTCGCATCCAAATTCAGAGGTTGCATTAATTTGCAAATAAACTCTCTTTTAGGGTTCATGGTATAAATGGCACTATACGTTGCATTAGTCTGTATAGTACAGTACAAAGAGAAAAGAGAGTCATAATTATCTGCTAGACATATGTGGTTGGGAGTTACGGTCAGGAGCATACATAGCGTCTATAGGTTGGGCCATACAAATATTTTAATATTATACGAATGATGTAAAGCACAGATAATTAATGAATCTGGATAAGGCTCGACTCATTTTCCAGTGTAAACAGATTACGTTCATACAATATAATTGTCTAATTGTACGGGTATTCCCACGTTCTGAGATGAGATTGTTTGTTGTGCGTTCATGGCTTGTATGAAAAGGTTTAATAATGGCTTAACAAAAAGTATAATAACCTTTATCAGACAAAATTAGCATAATCAACCACAAAGTCAACGAAACGATTAAGGCAAGAAAGAGAAGTGCACCGTAATTTAAACGATAAGCAATTAATGATTCTACATAATTTTAGTATTTTAGCAGGCATTTCGTCAAAAAGGAACTAAACCTTCATCAGTACCATTACAAAACATAATCGGTATTTTTTTCTTTTCTGAAATTAAAATGGCATTATTTATTGAGTTATAGGTTTTAAGACTTCACGGCAGAAAAGAGCGAATACACACTTATCAATCGAATTTCTTGTGGGTTACAATATAACATTTGCCAGAACATTTGGAGGGACTTTTAACATATCAATCACAATGAATATGCTTTTACGATATTTGATTGATAAGACGTTGACTAATGCAAGTTTTGGTGGTGACGCTTTTAAATTTTATATAGCCACTTTTAAGAATATATATCAATATGCCCTGACAACTTATTGGTAAAAATTAAGACCACTCTGCTTATCTCTCTTACTGTATATACAATTTCTAGTCAATACATTAAGTGATTTGTGAGGCAATTATACTAATTCACTCACTCGCACGTTGAGTATACGTAATTCTCTTTACTGAGAAGCTGTCTAGTAAAATAATACTCGCATAATCATGGTTATCGAATAAGATTATCTGTTTCCGGGGAATACTGCTTTGGGGGCTGACTTTTGTCTCTTCTCACGTTCGACAAAGTCAGTATTATCCATCACTGTCAAGAATTATACCGCACGTTGGACAGGCTCAACTTTCATTGGATGTTCAGTTCTGTCCATAATTCCTGATAATTCAAGTTTATTTTATTGTCAACACAAAATGTGCTGATTATGATCTGAATGTAAATACAGCCAAGACTGGATATAACAATATCTGTATATAACGATAACTGGATCTAACGATGAAATTTGTCATTACCAAAACATTCTTATTTAATTTCACCTGGGTATACCGATTTTACTATTAAAACCTCGTTATTACGTATACGATGTACCAATTATTGTAGCAATACACTTTTATACCGATATGTTTGTGTGACATCCACCCATGAACTGTACGAATTTCGAGTATTAGTATTACATATAATAATAATATTCATTTCCCCGAATTTCAGATTTTCAATGCCTTATACTAAACAAATGTTACTCAATAAACAAACTACCAGCGAAAACACCCAAAAAGTTTGAGAACATTTTTGAACTTTGCACAAAAAAAGGATGTTTGTGTTAAACTCTCTAGTAAGCCCAGGGAGAGCTTGCCGAACGACTGTTTCCATAAAGAACGTGTTAGAAAGCTTGGATAATGTGTTCAATTTTCTCGTTTATCCACCCGCAGGTTTTAATTGCGATGCAAGTACTGTATCAACAGTACGCTCCTTACGAAACAAGTGCTAACGCACCACGTCAATAATAAGAAACAGTCAATGCTAGACGGTTTTGTTATCTGAATGTACTTTGTAGTAAGTATCACCGAATCTTTTTTTCAATAAAACCGAATATCTTGCGTAACGATATTTTTTTCGTAATTATTATGTTATCGCTATAAATAGAATTCCTGGCATTAACGATAACTCGCTATAACAATGAAAGTGTGACCTAACGGGAGTATCATTATATACAGTCTTGACTGTATTAAGGATATGTAAATCACGTCACTATGTAAATTTACATATGTAAATGCGGTTTTGAGGACCCTGGACGGATGGGATTTACTATTACGTACAGTCTATACCGGCGTGAGTGGTTTGGCGGTTTTTGGCCCGTCATAACGAGAACCGGTATATGATTCAGCCGTTATAAGGGGATTAATATATATTTTTTTGGTGCAGCGAAATTGGACCGGTATAAGACGAACCCGGTATTAGTATAGACAGAGTTGACTGTAATATAAATGCGGTTTTTAGGGACCCTAAACGGGATTTACATACGACATATGGGCCTACATCAACTGGTATTCTTGGCATCACGATTTAATAATAAATAAAATGATTGGTCTTGATGAGATAGCTGTATAGGCGCGTTGTTTGGCACGCTTGGGCACTTTTTCTAAACTTCTATCATCTTGGTTTATCATTTTGACTTCCATTCCTGGTCAGATTGATAGTTGTGGCTTGGTTTATCATTTTGACTTCTATTCCTAGTCAGATTGATTATCTATCATAAAATTAATTAATATTAATATGTCAATTTCATATTAACTGCCAGGTCACACCAGCCTGCCAAGTCGTACAGGCTCAAATATTATTCCTTTCATTGGACGCTCATCCATAAATAAGAATATCATGGGCTGTACGACGTGTCGGGCTGGCAGGTAAATTGATTATCAATTTCATGACCACTTCGATACTTGACTTTGCATCATTTTGATCGCTATCATTACAGACATCACTCTGTCGAACATGTCTTCCTCGAATCCTTATCCAGAACCAGACGTATTGAAGGTCTCGGTTCTAGACAAAGATTCCATTATCTTTGGTTTCCATCTGACCGATTATATGATCCGAGATATTTTAACTAATATCCCGTCTTTATCATATGCAATTATCACAGACAAAAATATTGCTCCCCTTTACATGCAAACCATAACCTCTCGCTTTGACATCATATCGGATGAACTATTTTCCAACAAATCTATACCTACTAAACCTCGGCTGATTACGTATGTAATTCCTCCCGGTGAACAATCAAAGTCGCGCGTTGTCAAGGCACAGATCGAAGACTATCTTCTCTCTCAATGCTGTACACGTGACACATGTATAATGGCCTTGGGTGGAGGTGTTATAGGCGACCTTGTTGGTTATGTTGCTGCTACATTTATGCGTGGCGTATCCTTTGTTCAGATACCCACGTCTCTGTTGGCGATGGCCGATTCATCAGTCGGTGGTAAAACTGCTATAGATACTCCACACGGGAAGAATCTGATTGGAGCCTTCTGGCAACCGAAAAGGGTGTTCATCGATCTAGCATACTTGGATACATTACCGAAAAGACAGTTTGCAAATGGAATGGCAGAAATAATCAAAACGGCTGCATTTTGGGATGAGAAGTTTTTTGTTATGTTGGAAAATGGAGAGCAAGAGATTCAAAATGCTGCCACAAACAAAGACGGAGGAGTCGAGTATCAAGGTATGATTTGATTCTTCGGTTCGACTCGAAATTTTTAATGTATATTCGTTCTTATGATGTATAGTGGAAAGCACTCACTATATACGTAAATATGTTGTTCAAGACACTAAGTTTCGATCGATCAAACTTTTTCCCCTTTTGGATTAGGCTGTAATCTATCGACCAGAACTTCCTCTCAATCTCTGCTTCTTTCCGTCTTATACGAGGCCGTAAAAGTCAAGGCATATGTAGTTACGCATGATGAACGTGAATCTGGTCTTCGCGGTATTCTCAATTTTGGTCATACTATTGGACATGCGATAGAAGCCATCCTATCTCCTGAACTACTCCATGGCGAATGCGTATCAATTGGTATGATCAAAGAAGTCGAAATAGCCAGAAACCTCGGTTATCTCAATCAAGTGGCTGTTGGTAGATTGTATAGATGTCTGCAAAGCTATGGATTACCAGTTTCGTTGGATGACAAGAAAGTGAAAGATTTGGTGGGATCAAAACATTGTGCTGTGGATAAGCTATTGGACATCATGAAAGTCGACAAGAAGAACCAAGGAGATAAGAAGAAGGTTGTCATATTGACGGGAATAGGGAAAACGTTGGAAAAAAAGGCAACTATAGTTTCCGATGAAGTAATCCGATTGGTCTTATCACCAGCTATGAAAGTCAAACCTGTCCATGAATCATCTTTTCCATCTGTTCGCGATATTACTCTGGTTACTCCAGGATCAAAATCCATTTCCAATCGTGCATTAGTGTTAGCTGCACTTGGTGCTGGAGTTTGTCGACTCAAAGGCCTGTTGCATTCCGACGATACCCAGGTAATGTTGAACGCGTTACAGAAACTAGGCGGTGCCAAGTTTGAATGGGAAGATGATGGTGAGACACTAGTAGTTACCGGAGGAGGGGGGATATTGCAAGTTCCGAACACCGAGTTGTACTTGGGTAATGCCGGAACTGCATCCAGATTCCTTGCCTCTGTTTGTACGCTAGTGCAACCAAGCAAATTAACTGAACAGAATAAACACACTGTTCTAACTGGCAACGATAGAATGAAGCAAAGACCCATCGGACCACTTGTAAATACATTAAGAGAGAATGGTTGTGATATTAAATATATCGAGAACGAAGGATGTCTACCGCTCGCAATCACTCCTTCATCCATTGGTTTCCGAGGTGGACATGTCAGTTTGTCTGCGTCTCTGTCTTCTCAATACGTCTCATCTATTTTGATGTGCGCTCCATACGCAAATGAGCCCGTTACTCTTCAATTAACTGGTGGACAAGTGATTTCTCAGCAGTATATAGATATGACTATTGCTATGATGAAGTCGTTTGGCATCGAGACAGAACGATTGAATGACAACGTTTATAAAATTCCAAAAAGTTGTTATCGTAATCCAGAAGTGTATGTGGTTGAATCCGATGCTAGTTCGGCTACATATCCATTGGCAATCGCAGCTATTACTGGCACGAAATGCACCATATCCAACATTGGCACGTCATCGTTACAAGGAGATGCCGCGTTTGCGGTTAAAGTGTTAAAACCAATGGGCTGTAACGTCGTTCAGACGGATACGAGTACAACGGTAGAAGGTCCACCCATTGGCAGCCTATCTCCGATACCTACGATAAATATGGAATCAATGACGGATGCTTTTCTGACAGCATCGGTTTTAGCGGCAGTCGCCAAACGCGACTCTAATAATGAAAGAGTAACTCGCATAACGGGTATAGCCAACCAGCGGGTAAAAGAATGTAATCGTATTGCTGCTATGGTCCAAGAACTTTCTAAATTTGGGGTACAAGCAAGCGAACTACCGGACGGAATTGAGATTCATGGCGCTGATATTTCAGCTCTCAAATCTCTGGCCGATGGTGTGAATTGTTATGACGACCATAGAATAGCAATGAGTTTTAGCGTGCTTGCCTGTGTGATTCCAGGTGGAGCTGTAATTAATGAGAAAAAATGTGTTGAGAAGACATGGCCTCAGTGGTGGGATACGTTAGAAAGGAAACTGAATATCGAGTTGCAAGGAGTTGATATCGAAGCAGGCAACAAGAACAGTTTGACAGCTCTTTTTGAAATTGGACGCAAGCGTAAGAACACCACACCTGGAAAACATAATACTACTATTGTATTGATTGGAATGAGAGGCGCTGGTAAAACTACCCTTGGTAAACTTGCATCCAATGTTCTTAAGCGGAAATTTATCGATGCTGACGTCTACTTGGAACAGAGTCTGAACACAACCATCGATGATTATGTAAGTACTAACGGATGGGATGCATTCCGTACCAAAGAGTCAGAACATTTGTCGACTCTATTAAGTCAATATCCGACTGATTATATTATCGCCTGTGGTGGAGGGGTTGTTGAGAGAGAAGTGAATAGAATACTTTTGAAAAAGTTCATCGATGAAGGTGGGAAGGTTGTACATATTGTACGCGACATTGAAGAAGTAATCAATTATCTGAATGAGGACAATAGCCGGCCCGCATGGGGTGAAGATATACGCAACGTGTGGAATAGACGTAAAATCCTGTACGAAGAGAATTCTAATTATGAATTCAATTGTATGAATATTACTATAAGCAATGATCTTGTTACAAGTAATGTTATAGATCTTGAAAAATGGAAAAGGGTGGAAGCGGATTTTATCAGATTTATCAAGTTTCTTGCTGGGGAAGACACTAATCAAGTGACAGACGGAAAGAGAAGTTTCTTCCTATCATTGACTTATCCTGACCTTACCGTAGCGCTTGAACATTTTACTACCATAATGCATGGTATAGATGCAGTAGAATTACGCGTAGATTTACTTTCCGACCAATCCAGCTCCAATTCATCCTCGTATCATCCGCCGGTCGATTATGTCGCTCAGCAATTGTATTTACTGCGAAGACACACTCATCTTCCTATCATATTCACCGTTCGATCCCAGTCGCAGGGGGGAAAGTTTCCTGATAATAAAGAAAAAGAAATGTTTGATCTTCTTCATTATGCATTGAAATGGGGATGTGAATATGTCGACGTTGAAATCGGAACGTCACGCGATCTTGTTACCAAACTCATTCGATCAAAGGGACATACCAAGATCATAGCATCATGGCATGATATTAGCGGACGAATGAAATGGAACGGGGATGAAGTTAAAGAGGTATACAAGACAGCAAACGACTGCGGAGATATAATCAAGATCATTGGTGTCGCAAATGAACTGAATGATAACTTTGCTCTATACGAGTTTGTCGCATCACTCCCAAGCGATAGTAAACCTATAATCGCCATTAATATGAAGGCAAATGGACAATTGTCGAGAATATTGAATAATACGCTCACTCCGGTCACTCATCCTTTACTTCCTGTCGCGGCTGCACCCGGTCAAGTATCCGTTCACGAAATACATAGCGCTCGGCACTTACTTGGAATACTTCCTAAGCGTAATTACTATTTGTTTGGCACCCCAATCAAATACTCAATGTCTCCTACTATTCATAACACGGGCTTTGCAGTTTTGGGTCTTCCTCATCAATACCATTTATTTGAGACAGATAATATTGTTGGTATCGAGCCTATTATCGAAAGTGAGGACTTTGGCGGTGCATCTGTTACTATTCCATATAAAATCGGTGTATTGAAGTATCTAGACGAAGTAAGTGAATCTGCAAGGCAAATCGGAGCTGTTAATACTGTAATAGCCGTCAGAGACAAGGATAACAAGAGACGACTCGTAGGAGATAATACAGACTGGCTGGGCATTATGTATAGTATCGAACGTGCGCTTGGAGACTCAAACAGCAGCTACCAAGAAAGTGCTGGTCTTGTCATTGGGGCGGGTGGTACGTCACGCGCGGCGCTTTATGCACTTCACCAATTAGGAATTTCACCGATCTATCTCTTCAATCGCACGCTTGCCAATGCACAGTCTCTTGCTGCATCGTTCCCGTCCGATTACGGGATTACTGTTATTCCCAGTCTCTCCGAGCCCCTCTCGTCTCCCCCTCAAATTATCGTATCGACAATTCCAGCTACGGCTGATGTCGAGATACCAAAGGAAATACTCAAATTTACCGAGATTACTAAGAATAAAATGGGCGTGATAGTTGAGATGGCTTATAAGTCACGCAAGACAAAGTTACTTCAAGTCGCTGAGAGTTTTGGGAATGACAGATGGATCGGCGTGGAGGGTGTACAGGTGATTGTTGAACAAGGAGTATGGCAGTTTGAAAAATGGACTGGGTGTCGGGCTCCAAGGAACGCGATTGAGCAAAAGGTGGCGGAAAAGTATACCGCATAAGAGAGAAAGGAAGTTCTGACTAGAGTGTATGGGCGAAAAGGCACAAGTGTGAATCTAATTAAAGACGAATGGCTTGATGGCGATTTAGGTTTATTTCTATAATAGACGTATATTGTTGATTTGTTATAAGTTTTATTCGTGAATGGTTTCTTGTTTGCATGCTGCCAACTTTTACATTAAATCATTGACTAGAATCTTTGGACAGCGTAGCTTTATTCAAGCAAATGGATTTTATGCTCCACACAGTTTAGTATTAGGCAGTATCTAAATATAGCATTCATTTGTGATTATTATTTAACACAGAGATATTAATATAATGATAAGTCATATTATCAAACCCAAGCCTTGTTTTAATGTACGATTTGCGTGAATACTGACAGAATATTTTCTCTTTCGAGTTTCCATTAAATACTTCATACACTGTAACAGTAGTACCTGGATATTAGCATTGGTTAAACAGGCACTTTCAGCTCAAACACTGATTAAGTTTTATCGACAGAGACATCTGATTTCCACAAAGTTTAAAGCAGGTTATTATTATATCCATAACAAAACAGTGAATCACAAGGAAAGTTTTATCAAAAACCGATAACCGACATTGACAATGCACTATCATACTAATACGTATTTACAAGTATTACAAAGTCATCATATTAAATATAATAGCCGACACGCAAACGCCATAGCTTATAAAGAAGCGGAAACGAGTTCTGATAATAAATATTATCCAGTGGCGCACAAATGGTATTTTCAAGCCATCAAAATTTGCGTCTGTAAAACCTGAATGAACGCGATTGCACCAGCAAGCTTTTTGTATGCTGCAAAGGCTTTGTCATCGAGGGCACGAGGAGGTACTGGCTTGGAGTGTGAGGCAATAAGACCGAACTGACTAAAGCGGAGATTATTATTTAAAAACCGAATTGACTAAATTAAAGCCAGACTTTCCTGCAACGACAATCAATTGGCCCCAACTTAGAAAATGTTAGTTGCTACAAAATCAACTTATTAAAGCCATCAAAACAATAAAAGTATTCTTTGCACAACATTTTTAATGATTCAATTAACTGAGAATTATTATTTGTGAATGTATAAATGTTTGTCTGTCTGCTTAACCCGAGTTTCTCAGTCAATGAAGTAAAAAATTAGTCTTTTATATTCTTGAACCGTATGCAAGTCGACTTCTTGGTTCATAACACGTTTTTTATAATGTATGGGTTTAATAATAGAACTAGTTTATTCACATATACCGGGATATCCACCCAACATTAAAGCTGCAAATGTTTGACGCGTGGAGATATGATTCTGATGCGAGAGATGCACACTTTATTACATTATTGGAATGAAGGTGTCTGTTCTGTGCCTGAGTTAGCAAGAAACACAAAGCTATCAGTCTCAACAACGTTGAAAGGCTTAGAAAACTGGTACTCTGGAGCATAGAGGCGGTAACGGTTGTCCGAAAAAAATAACGGCCAATATGGCGAAATCTATCGGCCAAACTGTACGCCGAAATACATCAATATCATTACGTTCTTTTGTTAATAAACTCAACCATGATAACATCGACGTATCTTATGGTACTTATGAGCTATTGTTGAGAATGATTTATAAGAGTTTATGACAGAGGCATTCCGGAATCCGTCTTAAATAATTTAGTAAATTCAATGCGAAGCCGTTGTGAGCTAGTTATTGAAAACAACTGTGAGCGAATTAATTTGATATTTTCTGGCTTTTATACAACATATTGATATCAATCAATGCATTAAAACGATTAATTGTGCGATTAAGAATTGATCACTCCCATTCATTGCATGATAATCATTAATATTTTTAGGTATGTGCCACAATGATTGAACTAGATGTGGCTTGTGGATTATGATTATAGGGACACTTTTTGACTATAACCAGCTGATCAGTTCTTCTCACCCACAACTTATTTGCAGAATGGAATCTAGTAGTGACAGAAATAACGATACTGATAACAGCAATAACGAGGACTCGACTGATTCAACACGAATGACAATAGACTTGCACTCTCTGAGCTATGTTGAGCCGGTGAATTCTAATCTCATATGTTGCATATGTTGTGCACCATTCGTTGATCCTGTCGTGGTGGAGCCGTGTGAGTAAGTGTTCTAAAGCTACCTACACTTGTTCTACTCCACAAATAATTGTTACCTTCTTTATCGTTCATAAACACTCATAACACACAATATACCAGCCACACATTTTGTTCTACTTGTATCTCCAAAGCACTTGTTCGCAAAGCGTCTTGTCCGGTAGATCGTTCTCCTCTAACATCGCCACCAAATCCCGCCGCCAAACTGATACAGACCATGGTAAATGAGCTCTACGTATACTGTCCGAACGTTGATGATGGTTGTGATCGAAAAGAACAACGACAATTGTTAGAACACCATCTGAAAGAAGAATGCGAATATGTGAGAATAGAATGCGGAAACGAAGAGTGTAAAGAGATGGTGCTCAAGAAAGAGTTTGACAGTCACATGGAAAACTGTAGAGAAAGAGTCGTAATGTGTGAAAACTGCAATTCTGATGTCAAATTGAGTGGGGTGGAGGTAAGGCGATGTGAAACTATAAGAGTGATTAATCAAATGACGTGAGACTATGTATGCTAAAGTAATAATTATTTCCGTGCTTGACATTTTCTACCGTACGTTCTTACACCCTTCTTTTTCATTTATTTCTGTTAGTCCCACCGTGCAACCTGTCCAGCTAAATCGATGACATGTCCTCATTGCTCACGGTCTTATACGCTTGCTGCTCATTCAGATCATCTCGTTAACTGTCCAGATATGGATACACCGTGCTTACATTCTGAATTTGGTTGTCTGTGGATGGGTCCTCGTCGTGAACTCTCTTCTATACATCTCCCCAAATGTCCGTTCGAACCACTCAAAGACATATTCTCGACATATAAACGGCGTATGGACACATTAGAGCAAGAAAACATGCAATTAAGAACGGAACTGAGCATTGCGATCGAAAGAATACGAAACGAAACCGAGAGGTTATGGGATGGATTAAGAGAAATGTTTCCGGAATTGTTTATCGGATTGGGAGGCAAGGAAGGAGAGGATCTTGTGATACCGAGGGAAAGATTAGTGGCCGAGAACGAACGATTAAAGAACGATATTGAGACACTGAGTCGTAGTCTTGCCGATCTGGAACTCAGACAGAACCATGCCTTGGCGTCAGAGGTATCGAAATTACAAGAAGAGATTCAGTCTCTGAAAATTACCTGTCATAGTATTCGTACTCAGATGCATCATGTTCTATCCGAGAGACGCGGTGATGGGAGCAGTAGTGCAGGAGCACCAGTTGCATCCGTGGCGAGACAGTCAATGTCTGGGAAAGCGGATGTCGAAGGCAGAGGCGGTCAGAGCAGGCAGCATGGAGAGAGTAAGAGTTGGAGAAGGGTTGCAGCAGCAGATATGAATGGAAACAGAGTTGGGAATGTTGCAGGTAGGTGAATGAGTGGGGAGTTTGGTTGAAGATAGAGTCTTCTCTTTGTATTGACTATCTGTCCACGATAGGCGAATCGACGCGACAGGAAACGAAATTATGAAAGCTGAATATACGCAGCATACATCTTTTTAATGAATTTGCTATCCCTACCGCTAATAGTAGAAATGGTTAGGCACGTTTCAAATATTATAGCAAGTACGTGACATACAGTCAGTATATTGCCCTGGTTTTTGAATGTAATCCAGGTACCGAAAATTGAAACCTTGATTCTCTGATAACCGTAGAGTAATATAATCGAACATTGAACAATAAATCAAGAACTTGAAGAACAGTTATTGTATTTATTATCGGGTAGATACATTATACAATACAAAACACCCTATTTGTCAATTATTTAACGTCATGTCCATAAAAGGTAATTTGCAAAATAAAATTTCCCTATTGAAGTGACAAAATGAAAAAGCTCCATTGTTCGATCCTGCCGTTATTCCACCCAATCATTCAACACGTCCCGCATATTTACCACGTGTTTACACTCTCCACCTTCACTATCCCTACTTCAATCTACACCACCCATACTTTACCGAATATAAAACCCCCCAACTTACTCATGGGCATAACGATGATGGCAACGACTGTTGATTCAGAGACGCAGCGTCTTAACGGCGAATCTAACTCACTGCAGGCTCTAGAACATATGCTTACCCAACTGATAAATTCTCTATGGAATATGATTATTACCGTTTACGATATGCAAACTGATAGCGTTGAGCTGATTGTCCAGTATGCGTAAGTAATAAAGAAAGCGATTCAAGTGGTCAAGATATAGATCGGAGTAGTCGAGTGGAAATGGTGACGAAATTAAACAAGCAGAAAGCACTGTATTATGCAGAGTATACTCATTCTTGTTCTTACGGATCGTCCATACGCAGTGAACAGATTCTAGAGTGTATAAAGGAAATCGACAAAATAAAAGACAGTATAAATATCGAGGTTCCAATGGAGGCTATCGAGTATGATTATCAAATATATTTATCGTATGCTTGTATTAAGGCGCATATATATATTATTTATTCACACGTGTTGGCTATTGCTAGATGTCTATGTGATGGAGGTAATCCAGATAGTTTTATGAATGAGTATGTTCGAGAAGTGTTTACAGAAGACCAGCAAGCACATAGCAAGACAGAAGCAATACACGTAAGTATCGGAATAAGTTGGGGGTTTGATGTTTCACTCTCAACCATGTTTTGATTCACACTCACAGAATATGTACGTTCGCTCGTTCTCTTCATCTCTTAGAACTTTAGAGATTTGCTGATCGATCGGCTAAAGTCTACGTTCCCCACCGATGCCGATTTATATACATCATCTTCATCGACTACGGAAGAGCGAAAAGAAAGCAACGGACATTAACATCACTCGTAGCGTCGTCATATTTGGTGCGGGCACATGAAGAATCGATCACTATTGTATAGACAGACACAACTCAATTAGTAATAAATACAAAATAGAGCGGTTCAGCCTTGTAAGTTGAAGACTCGGGATTTCTCGAGAGGGTTGATTGACCAAACTCTTCAAAATCGAACAGACGTTCACACGGGGGTCGCGATATATAAGAACATTCACTGACTCGAGGGGGGGAGAAAGTCAATTTTTTCATTACTATTCTTCAATTCACCATGCCAAAGGTTGATCGAAAAGAAAAAGTATTGATATAAGGGAAGAAGGCGGAGATGAGCATCGATTTTTATATTATGGTCGATGATTTGGATCAACGTTATTCACAGTCAGAAAGCTGTACTATTAATTTTCAGAGAATGAACATTGAACATTGTTTTTAAACCATTTTTTATTTCCATGCATGTATAATTTTGGAAGCAAAATCAAGCAAACTTGTGTCATTTTGAATAGTTTGTTTGTCTGATTTCAGGTTATACTTATTTTAAATGTTTTGTTTGTTTGTTTGTTTTTTCTGTTGTCTTTTTTGTTTGTTCAATTTATCTAATCTTGCTTAGTTTCTCTTTGAGCAATCGCCTTTATATACATACATACATACATACATATATATATCACTGTCGGACAATATAATAATAGATGACAAGCACTTGATATCTGGTAAACACCCAATACATAAATCTTACATACATTGGGAAAAGTTTGCCAAGGTAATATGATATGAATAATAAATGAATATTGATCATCGATAAATTTGCCAAACTGTCAAGTATAATACAGCCTTTATAGTATATTTGCTTACCAATTACTATAACTATTATTACTACTATTGCTTGAAAAATGTACCGCAAAGTTCCCAAGCCCCAATTTTCTTCAATTGTCTTTACTAAGTATAGCTTCATGAGCGCCCAATGTCACGGGACTCCCAATGAGACTAGCATAGATATGAATCATGGTCTGGTGAAGTTTACATTCTGAAGCTTTTCGATTGGAACCAACTCATCGCATACATAAGGTTGGTATTGTGAACATCATTAAATCTGTCGGGGACATAATACGAGAATTGCGGGAATGTGTGGCGTTGGTCGTCATCGAAATAAAAGGATTAACGCCGTCAAACTTTTTTTTTACCTTCCCCTTCTTACTTTTGACGCAAACTCTTTTTTTCCTTTTTCGCAACACGCATTACACGCTTACTCAATCACATGTAAGTACCATTCTGAGATTTACGAGTAAAACCACCGTCACAGTGTTGTGGTGGGGTATAGAAAAGATATTTCTAATGCTTTGACGCTTCATTCATTACGAATTAGTACGATTTAATGTCTTCTTTATCCTCTCAACCCCAAGAACCGGCAATAGGTTCAAGTCCGGTTAGTACTAATAAATGCAAGACACATTTTATTATTATGCATTCGTAATTCACTGACTTTTGCACACAGCAGTTGTGAACGCGATGGGCTATTCCTGAGGGTTCTTCTCGGCATCGCTTCATGATGGGCTTGTGTGATTAACGATTATACTAGTCGTAATTGTATTAGCCGCGTATACGAGTCGTCACGATAACCACATGTCTAGACGAATATTCCCGATACTCTCTACGTATTCCTTCTAAGATACAAAGCTTAACCCAACGAGCGTAGTGTTGTTGATATTTTGCTTGGCGTCATATCGAACTCTTCATACTCTTTCTTAGTTCAGCGAATTAAATATTAACTCTTTGCTTGGCGTCGAGTGTTAACTTAATCGCAACGGAATATAAGTAAACCCATAGAAAACGTAACATTGTCATAGGCTAACGATATCCCTAAATGATATCGAAGTTAGCTTCCGGTTCAGTGAATTATCCAGCAATAATAATTATGAACGCTCTCAATAGTTGAGGAAAGTTAACAGTCGAATATCCCGTAAGAGGAATTCCCATTCACCCAAAGTGAGTCGTACCCAGGCGAGACGTTATCCAGAGATTGGTGACGATGACAATGTATGTGGAGGTTGAGTGAGATAAACTCTAAATCGTTTTGTTGTATCCAACCGTAGGCCTCGGACCGTAATATGTCTTTTTTATACACACTAGAGATAATGATAAACATTAACTCTCTTTCACTTAACATCATCGGTATTAGCCTTCTTCATGTTG